GCCCGTCGTCCTATTATGTTTCGATAACGATTCAACCCCGCGCCCACTACGTGTTAATGACCGGAAGTCCGGATACAACGCATTGTGTACGAAACTAGAAGTGCAACGTCCGTCTGTCATCCCTATAAGTTCGTGGGCAGCCGAAGATGATAGGGTCCGTTTTTTTAGGAGTTATTTTTTGTGCTAAAAGTTTTGCTTTTTCTTCTACCCAATGGCTATAGTGTGTAACAAAAAAAAAAAAAAAAACAAAAACCATTTGCTTCTGACAGAATTTCGAGCGAAAACTTAGAGCTTGAGGGTATTGTCAAGTGATCAAGACTTACTTAAATATATTAAATCTGAAAAATATAGTTATAACATAAGCATGATTTTTGACTGTAGGACACTTGTGAACACAATGAATAGATGCGTGCCATGCAGTTTTATAATTTTTTTTTTTAATAACCATATTTAAAATTAAAAGATGATATTATGATATAATAAAAATTAAACTAAACAGGTCGGAGTTATGGAAGGAACATCAACACTACCATCTTCTAGCTTGCAAGATTAACAAAATACTAAACGGGTTTTCTTCTCTCCTCTGTTGTTTAAAATATGATTTAGTTACTTATTTTTAATTTTTTGTGTAATATGATGTATTTCACTAAATTCACTTAAATATTATTCTTTTAACATAATATGGGGGAAACAGAGTGTTGTCAATGCCCAGTGGTGTGTAAATACTTAATACACAATCACAAAAAACCTACTTACATTATTATATATTTTTGTTGAGCATGTTTTCAAAACTTAGGTCTTATAAGCCATCATAATTAATACCAACTAATCACATGCCTCATTGAATTCTGAAAAGTAATTGCAGAAAGTTAAAATAAACTTGATTATAATAAATAATAAAAATATTCATAATTATTTTAATGAATAAAAACTAAATTGAACTCATTAAGAAAGATTGCTTATTTTCTTAGTATATTATCCTTTATATTTTCAATAATATTTACGTCAACTATTACGTCTTATTATTGGAAGGAAAATGAGGGAGCTACTATCGATTAAACTATAACAGTATTTTGTTTTATATTGTATATATTTTATAGTTTATATATTATATTTCATTTTATACATAGGTAAATACGATAAAGTGTATAATATGTATATATTTATAGTATATATAACTATATAATTAAATACTTGAATGATTATTAACATGATCAAAGCATAATATCTATCGGCAATCAATCGGTTTATGTACAATAAATTTATTTAGAGTTTATGAAAATTGACAATGTGCAGTATTTTCCATTGATAAAAATAAAAAAAAATAACAAAGAATAAAATATATTTTATGGTACACCAAGCACTCATTATTTTCAACAATATTTAATATATCAAAAGAACTCATCGTTTAACGATATAATATTATCATTTGAAGATTTTATAGAACGCTATTGTTTTGTAAATTAATCGAATCACATTAAATTAAAAAAAAATTAAAAATATTAAGAATAAACCCAAATCTTATCAATATTATTTTTAAGTTTTGAATTTTCTAGTTTCAACATTTAGTTTAAAACTGTATTAAGATCCTGATTATAGTTTTAAAATAAATAACAAGTGTGAAAATATTTAATAAAGCGTAAATTTAGATACATCTCCGCACATCCCACTCGATACGCACATGCATAAGTTGAAGCAGAGTTGGAAAGAAAATATTAAATTCAAAGAAAATGGTGTTACTACTATTGTTATGAACTCATCGGAGGAGAATAATCGGAAACAAAGAACGTTAAATTTCTAAATTCTATCCTATAAATACCCTATATTCGTGAATAACTGGAATAGGTATGTGATGTTATAATGAATCATCCGGAATTCAAGAGTTTTTAACGATGAGTCTATGTTCATAAGCGATCAAAAATATCCCGGCCATATCCATACACACCGCATATACTACTGATGTTAAATGTACCTATGACCCATATTAAAGTTTAGATGAACAGAATAGTGGTTAAACATTTCGAGGGGTAACCCTCTACCACTCCACATCAAAACTTTAAGTACTTATAATTCATAAACTACTGGCCCTAAATTTGATTTTTATGTTTCGAAATACTTAGACAAATATTCTGCTTTGAAATATGAAATTAAAACTCTATGTTATCATTCAAAAAAGTAAAAAACATAAAAAATTATAAGGATTAAAAATATTTAAAAATATAATTTTTTAATAAAAACGTTGTTTTGTAAACGACTTGGAACTATGTAAAATAATATTTTCAAAAAAAAAATACTTTTCTGGAAATAATGAGTGTTCAATGATAAAAGAATCAGCCTGTATTATGAGCTCTAGACTCAAACATACTTAAGTATATTTTTGTATATCTACAGAATACAATCTATTAGTTAGAACAAAGTGTTTTAATATCTATAGATGCCACTAAAAATGTAAGCCAATGAGACTTGCAAACAATGTCATGTAAAATTTAGTACTTATCCACCATTTTTAACTAGGCATATCACACACAGGCTTACTGCTTTAATGGGTGATATAATATATTAAAATAGTTTTATTTTCTGATTTTTTGAACTGCACAATAAAATATTTTATCTTATAAATAATTATTAAAAATACATTTTATAGTCCGTTTGATGGGTGCTAGGTAGATTACAAGTCCGTGAAGTGTATAGGAAAACAGCAAACATAATTTACAATTTGAATTAAAAATACTTATCAATAAATGGCATTTAAAAATTTTAATTACAAAAGTTCAGACATTATGATTATAATTTTTACTATCGAAACAAGATATAAATGTAGCAAAAATGTTTTCATCCCAACTTTTTGATTTAAATATACATGTATTTTAATTGTATATAACATTTAAGTACAGTTATAAAGTATTTTTATAGTTATTGATTAATATGTTTTGTTTTGCAACATTTTAAATAAACTAAGTAATTTTATGATAATGTTATCATAAAATATTTCACTGACAAACTTAAATGATTAATTAATTGTGGTTAAAAATTAATGTAACCAATTAATATTCATTTTACAAAGCTTGACATGTTTAAAACCAATTACCTACCTGCTAGTTCAATGATGATTATTTTCTATATTAATATTATACCATATCATTTTGGAATAATGGAATGTACGCTAGAGATTTAAATTTTTTTTTGACTTAATCAACGATACATTCAAAAGTTTTTTATACTTAAATAAAAAAAAAAAAGGTTTATTGTTTTTTTTTTTTTTTTTTTTTTTTTTTTTTATTAGATAAATAGAATATTTACAATCTGTAATTTGTATGATACAATAAGTAAATTAGGTAATGAAAGAAACAATAATAACATGAATGGCTTGAGGAGGGAGGCCCACCAGTGTGGGTACCCTCTAACTTGGGGTGAGGGATGTCATGGAGTGGACGAATTGGGAAGTGTAATTTTGTTAATTAGGGAAGTAAGAGCCAATAGAAGAGGGTTTAAAATACATTTTAAATCTTCAATAAATTTGTTGATGATGTGGAGAGGTTGATTGACTGATGAAGAGTTGGCTGTGGCTTTGGCATAAGATGTCGGTTTTTGATTTGAGTTGTAACTGGGGACGTTGAAGATTTGTGGTGCAACAGGTACAGCAGATGGTGGGCTGGGGTGTTTTTTCGGTTTTTCAACTTTGTCAGCTTTGTAAGCGACTTTGTAAATGGTGCGCTTTAGTAAATTTTTAAAAATTTGACAACCTTTGTAGTTGGCAGTGTGGTTACCGTTACAGTTGGCGCATTTAACGGGTTCTTCCCGTGGTTTAGAGCAATCTTCGGTGAGGTGGCTTAACCCACATTTCACGCAACGCGGAGGTTGGTGGCAATAATTGCGTGTATGTCCATACATTTGACAAGAGTGACATTGGGGAGGACCAAGTGGCCTTATCGGATGCTCGAATTTCACAATTGAGTTAAACAATTTGTTTATTTTGAAAATGTCGTTGTTGTTGCTGTTGCGGGCTAGGGAAATATTGAATAACGGAAGTGGCGATTTGTTTGTACGATTGAGTATGTTTGAAATGCTGATAACTTTGTGTCCAAGGTCTCTTAGGCTATTAATGATGTCCTCGGTGGTGGTAGAGTGGTGGAGGTGACGTAATACAACGCGGAACGGTTGGAGAGCGCGGGGTTGATAACAGTGAAAATCACAGGCGGCATTGATCAGATAAGATTTAATGGCTACATACTGAGCTCGTGTATTTGTCCGTAAAATTAAACTGGATTTTTTAGCTTTGCAGGTGAAGCTCTCTGGGCCCACCAGACGGGTAAGATCCTTAAGAGGACGTGTCACGAAATATTTACGCGTGCAACGACCAAGAGGATGCGCTGTTAGGTGTTTTCAAGATCCGCAAGCGCGCGGCGCTTAAGTCACGCCTACTATTCACAATTCGCAACCGGCTGACGGCGGCGACGAATTCTCGTTCGCGAGCGCCGTTTATTTGTCTATAAACGTTCGTCCAGTACTGTTCGTATCATTATATAAAACTCATTATACGCGACTGCCGCCGTAATATTTTCAATACCCTCGCGTACCTATGAACTACCAATTATAAATTAAGTCTTAAGATACTGCTTACCTAAATGTATGTCCCAATATATAGATCGTATAAACTGTATTATAACATAGCTTGATTTGTATTTATTATTGATTATTACCTACTAATTCAAATACCTAACCTAATATCTATATTAAAAATATATTTGGGTATCAGGTACCTAAATAAATACAGTGCAATCAAATTAATATTAATTTTACGTGTTTCATATTTTACATTCAAGTTATATTATGTTCCTTTTTTAAACATAGATTTTTAATATTATGATAATAAATAATAATTAATGAAAATATATCGACATTTATAAAAATAAATGGAATGTTTCAAATCCTTATAACTAGCTTAAAAATAAGCGATATATATTTTGAAAATGATAATCATACAAAAATAAAAAAACAATTTATATAATAGGTAAATTCTTTTTTTTTATGTTTTCTAAAATGTGTTTCGGCTCTAAAATATCTGACTTCAATAGCCGTTTGCCATACCGTGGTTGAACCAATTCGGGCAAAAGACATTCCTTATAAAATCTGTATAATATATGATTTCAAGTTACAACATTCAAATATTATGTTATTTACAACTACTGTAATAGGTATTTAGTTCGTATTTTTTACTTACGTTTCTAACTGAGTTTCCATTTTAGAACTCCAAAAGTTTTTGTCGAATTCAACTACATCATAATGAAGCCAGTGTTCTGAATATACAACAAAATAACATACCTTCCTCTTAGTTATTTTCAACTGCCCTTGCACTTGGTAGTAGTATGAACTATCTTTTTTTAGTTTCATTTTACCGTCTACAATGGTTATATAAGGAATCTGTAAATTATAAATAAAAATCATAGATAGATAGGTAGGTATAATATACTAAACATTCATGTTTATTTGTATCATAGTTTATAATAATAATAATTATTTTATTGTACCTTTTTGTTGTCGACTGCAACTTGAATATCAATGGTATCTTTTGTCGATAAAGGACATTTAATTTCAAGTAGAGCTGTATCGCCTACCAAACCATCTGCAGAAAATAAAATATATACTTTATCTGTAGGTATACATATACAAAATATACATAATTTACAATATACATTATACAATATACATAATATAAATAAATATAATAAATCGTATTCACCAGGGCTAGCAGCTAAGAATGGTTTATCTTTGTCGATAAACAAACCACAATTTAAAACTTTAAAATTGGTTAAAGTTTCAAATTTCTTTCTAGCTGTATCTTCCATCATTTTTCCATATTCCATCGCCTTGGTTGTTACATTTCCGTAAAGCAAATCATATACAGTTCCTTTACAGGATGTAGTTAAACGCATTTTGCAAACTCTACCAAAGTTGGATGCAGTTAGGCGAATTCTACGTTCAACTTGCCACGTTTGTGAATTCGATTGGTCAATTGTGTCCCTTTCTAACTTATCGATAGCTTCACTAGAAATTGATAATGATTTCATAAAATTATTTTTTTTTTCATCTATATCTCCAGGTGTTTCATTATCGTCCAATGGTTCAGCTAGCCCATAATGTTCATCGGGGCCAAAATTTTTTTTTCGTTTAGCAGTATATTTTTCTTTTTGAAAATTAAGCCTTCTTTTTTGTAAATTACTCAATTTACTTTCACGGGCTTTCAAAAATTGTTTACCAACTATTCCTATGTAAGTAAAAAAATTATAAACAATATATAAAAATATAAATGTCTAAATAATGAAAAATATAAATACCTGGACTCTTCTTAGTAATTTTTTTATGAATTAATCTAATATATTGTCCTGAAGTATTAAAAGATACTACAGCAGCTTCAACACGGGCGTTATATGAATTTTTTAGAGCGAAATTAATGCGTTTGCCAGCAATATGTTTGTTGATAATACTATTAAATTGCTCACATATATTATTATCAACATCTAGTAACAAACTTTGGGCATTTTCAACAACTCGATGGTAAATTCGTGATATTTCACTCATTAACCCACACTCTTCCGCTTCAGGTACAAAATTTTGTTCACCGATTTTAGAACCATTACAAAAATAAGAATCGCAATTTAAATGTTGCCCTAGTAAATGTGATGGTCCATTTTCAATATCCTTTTTTAAATCTAAAATTATTTTATTTAACTTATATTATTTTTACTTGTGATTAAAATTTTTATTTGTGTAAAAAACAAAAATTCATTTATTAACTACCTTTAATTTTGTTTACTTCACTATCACATAGCGATTTTCTATGCTGAATAGCCATAGTTATGGCTGTTCGAAATTTATTGCATTTTTGTTTCTGATTTAATAAATTACGTAAGTGCACTGGATATTTAGTATTTTTGGTTAATTGAGATATTTTTTGACCAAGATTTCTCAATATGTGGTTGCGACATTCAATTTTATCTACTAATAATTTTGGCCCATATGGTAAAGTTTGCTGAAGTCGCTTACACACTGAACTGTCTCCATCCCCTAAACATAATATTATGTAGGTAAAATAATAAAATTCACTAAACTATTTAAAAGGTTAAAAAGGCAATAAGTGGGTGGTACCACTGCTATACAGTAGGTTATACATATAATATTACGAAGTGTAATTTATGATATTGTTGTGATTAAAGTAATTCATTCTATTATTAGGTTTTAGAACTACAGGAGATTAAATTAATGTAGCCGAGAAAATTGCATTTGAAAATATCTAAAATGTTACAAAAATGATAATAATTGACTTCATACCTATAAGTTTATTATATATTAGACCATGCATTTCAATACTCTTCGCAAAACCTTCAGCTATAGCGTCAGCTTCCATACCAGTTGATGTTCCTTTCCAATTTAAAAAACAATTATGAGTTTCAGATATTGTGTTTTTGTTTTTTGAACGTTCGCATATTAAACAATAGCGATTACGTATTCCAATGAACAAAATTTTTTTAGTTCTAAACCCAATTATTGTTGCCTAAAATGTAAATTAATAATGTAAGAGTATAATTTTTTTTTAACTATATCCTCTAAACTTAAATGCATAAAATTATACTATTTAGTCAGCAATATAATATATAATTATTATAGGTATATAATTTAGCAATATAAATTTAAAAGAACTTATAGTATCTTACCACTCCAGATAACGAATCGTACTTAGTTTTATAACTTCGCTTACACCACGATCCGTCAGCTACTACAGTTATCATGGGTACTCCATCCGAATTTAAATTACCATCTTCAATGGCTAACTTTTTTTCTTCTATTCCTAAATAAATGTATAGACCTATAATAGTTAAAGATTTACCCTGTTTCCGTGGATATACTGTATATATGTATATATATACCGAGTGATCCATTTAATGCTGTAAAAAGACTCGTTTAAAGTCATTAAAATTAAAAAATATATTAAATATATTAACACAGTTTTTTTATTAAATAATTATAGTAATAAACTACATGACGTCCAAAATAAGATTGTTATTTAGATCGAAATATTGCGATTAATATACTGCTACGAAATATGAAATTAAATTTTTTTTTAATATATTAAAAAAAATGTACCTATATATAATTATAATAACTTACGTTAAATGGATCACTCTTTACATATAGAGAACAGTAAGTACTAAATTTAAAGCAAGTATAACAATTTTTTAGCATGCTACTGTATACATAATAAATTATAATATATAAATAAAATTATTGTAAGAATTTTATAATTTTATATTGTAATTATCATACCGGCTAGGTATATTTCATCCCACGCAGTTTCATTTATAATTTCACCAATATTTGATTGCAGTTTAATAAACACATTAGGTGAAATACACGGGACATCTATAGTCGCTGAAAATTCATTCAGTTGTGTATGACCAATTCCAATTGCAATAGAACCACTAACTGTTGCTTTATTTACTCCTACATATTCAGTTTCAGAAGTGTTCTCAGAGTCAATTTTTATTTTAATTTGACAAACTAAACATTTAAACAGCCAAGAACAAAAAAATCCTTTTCTGTGTTCAGAAATTAATTCCATATCTAAGAATGTACAGTCTAGCCCTCCCTTGTGTCTACAATTCAAAATTTGTTTGAATACAAAATTCATATCCACAATTCGACGACCACACAATTCTTTAGAACTAAAAAAATAATTAAAAAATATTTCGCAAAAATTAATTGACTTTTAAAATATTTATATAATATTAGTATAAAGTCGTTAGCTAAGATTAGATACCTTTCAATTTGCTCATTGGACATTTCCACAGAAAGTTGAGTGGAGTTTATAATAGAATTTTCTGGTTCAATTTCTATAAAGGTCGATTGAGCGAGTGGACTTTTAATTTCTGGAGATAAATTGAATGTACTGGAATTACTGTTGTTAATATAATTGTTACCATTTTCAATACCACAATTTGACATGCCGTCAGAAATTTCAATCGCAGATATATCATTAAAACCCGGTATATCAGTCAGTATATCCACACCTGTCACTGTACTATTAAAAATGATTACTTATTATAAGTTATAACACTATAAAATAGCGTATAAAATAAATAGTTAAATATATGAAATATGTGTCAACCACATTATTATTTTTAAATAAATAATTATATTATATTATTTAACTCACTTTTGTATTGGAGAACTAAAGTCAGCATTAGAAGTATCCTGATCGATTTCTCTCACAGTACCTTCAGTACTAATAGTTTAAAAAAAAAACAATATTGTTATTTTAAATAATATAATACCATATTATATTCATATAGAAACTAGTACCTATGAATTATATTATGTGCCATTAGTGGCGTAGAGTTCAGTTAAAAGTTTTTTAAGTTATTTATATGTAATTGAATACTTGAACTTTCGATTTTTCTAATGTATTTTTTTTTTAATTATTTCATTAATTTTTAGCTATTTATAGGCATATGAAATATTTCTTTTTTATAAATTTCGATAAAAACATTTTGGTTGAGTCAAAACATTTGAAAATGCACCAAATACAAAGTTCGTCTAAAGCTAGTTTTACAGTGATTCAAAAATTATCAAAATACATAGGCACAACTTTTTTTATTAGTGCTTGAAGATGAAATACCGAACAAATAATCTTCGTTTAGAATCGTCTTTCATATAGAAAATCATTGCATTCAATTTTAACACATACAATATAGTTATTTACTCTATGACCATTGACCGAGGTTCACTCCACCCTTACTATACAGCAGAGTGAGTTCCCGGTTATATTTTTCTAATTAGGTTTAATTCATATTGGTGACTGGTGTATAATGTATATTATAAAAAGGTAGGTAAGTGGATACCGCTCTGCTGTACAAAAGTTATCGAGTGGGTCACTGTACAGGATTTATTAAATTTGAATTCAACGATAAATCATTGCATATACAAAAAACGATTCTGAGCGAAGACGGTTCATCAACCAATATTATCTAAATATATTTTAGGTTATAAAAGTAATTTTTTACCACGAAGCACGATCCTTATAGATATTAAAATTTAACATTTAGTTCATTTTGTACTGTAAAATATAGTTTGCAAATGTTCGTGATTTTGATGAATTTTGTAAAAATATGAACTTTAAATGCATTAAAAAAAAATGTGCACACGTATCTTTAATATTTTTTAACTGATATCAAAACAACTCATGAGAAACCATATATTAAATTGTCAAGCTTTTCGACCCAGTGAAAAATTTTTCAATAGATAATTATAGAAAAAAAAACATTTCCCATGCCAAATTTGAACTTAACACCTGTATATAAAATGACCATCTTAATATATTTTTCAGATTTTTTTGTTAAATTATCTATTAACTCCAAAAGAACCTTGTTTTAAAATTTCAATCCTTAGTTTTAAAAATTTAACATTTTATAAATTGTTTAGTACAAAATAATTTGCACATTTTCGAGAATTTGATGAATTTTGACAACATTTTTAAAAAATGTTATCGGCATTAAAAAAAAAAAAACAAAAAAAAAGTCGAAAATTACTTTTACATACAACTTGCGCAAAAAAATTCGAAAAATTTTGAAAATTTTGTGGTATGTTACAATTACAAATATAAACATTTGGTGAAAATTTCAAGTATCTACGTTCATTTTTTTCTGTGTTACGTCAAAAGACAAAACCGATTTTTCCGAAAATCGGCTGTGCGTAAAAATTCCCGTTTTTTCCTTAATTTTTTGTTAGTTCCTGCCGTGTTAAAAAACTGTTGGGAAATTTATACTTTTGACCCCCCCAAAGTACCAACTAGATTCACTTTCCTACCAGAAAAGTTGTCGATGAAGAAAATCGAAGCACTTTAACTGCCTCAAAACGTGATGACAGACACGAAAAAAAAAAAAACAAAAAACAACATTGCAAAATCAATACATTCATCGCTACGCTCAGAATCTAAAATTAATGCGAAAATTTCAAAATAATATCTTTATTATTTCATTCAATATTTCATTTTTTGTCTCTCTTGAAAAGCTATAAAAAGTGGACTTGTCCCCTTTCGGCTGTTAGCAATTCATATGGCAAATACTAATGTTATTTTTTTAAACACTATTTAAAATTATAGCTAATGTTGGAGAAAATAAGTATATGCTTAGTGCTTACCTTACAGTTTTACATAAATCCAATCTAAAATTTAAAAGGTACGTACCTGCCCTACACTCCTACATATTCGTCATATTCGTAAGTTGGACAGACATTTGTAGTCTGTAGACTACCTACTCTAACCATCTTATACAAATCAAAATGATGGCACTATATTATAATACTTACGGTTGCTTTTTACAGAGTTTTTTCATACGCAAACCTACAGCTTTTTTTCCAGTTGATCTTTTTTTGGATCGAAATTTTGATGGTGACATTTTTACATTTACAAATTCTACAATATTAAGTAGACAAGTCGATAATTTATAAATAACTAGGTACTGTACTAGACAAACATTCAACTAAAAGCGAGTAGCGACTTGTTGTCAGCTATATGCCTATATGGCTATATGCTTGTCCTTATATTATTGGTATAGTAAAAATAAACCAGTATTCCAGGAAATTATTACGGGCGCGCTAAATGCAGATAAGCGCGCGGCGCCGCAGCCCAGATCCGGACAACTTTATCGTGGTGGGGGAAAATCGTGTTCGCTATTACAACGACCGTAGGCAGCAGCACATTACAGCCAAAAATATTTAATAAAATTGAAATGTTTATGTAAAAACTGTTTCGCGCGGGAAAGAACCGAGAAAGCTACAGTTATAACTAAGAAACGAAATTTTCACCATATAAAAAGGAGAATTTTGTCTGTGCAATGTCGTTTTTATTTTTTTGATATCACTTATACAAATAAAGTTCTCATTGTTTCAAAATCCATTATTTTTCTATTTTTTTAACATGAATAATTTTTTTTGCATAAGTGATATCAAAAAAATAAAAACGATATTGCACAGACAAAATTCTCCTTTTTATGTGGTGAAAATTTCGTTTCTTAGTTATAACTATAGCCTTCTCGGTTCTTTCCCGCGCGAAATGGTTTTTACGGACGAATTTACACAAGTCAAACGTCCTCTTAAGGTTTATTGTTATTAGTCATTTTGTAGTTTTAACTTTTAAGCCATTAATAATACTAAACATGAGCTAAGTGTCATAATGTGTGATAAATGAATTACATTTTTTTTTTTGATTTCTTATAGTTATGTTGAAATAAAATTTAAATACTATATTATTATTTTTAGAGCAACTACGCTTCTATTAAAAGTTTTTATGATTTACGATTCACATACTTAAAAGTGTTTAACAAATCATGTTAAAATTAAATGTATTATATTATAATTATTTATATTTTGGTTTCTAAATTTACCTTATTGTAAAGTATCTAATAATTATTTATGAATCCAATGAAATGGTTAACATGCAAAAATTACAAATTTGCATTAACAACATTTCTGTTTATGGTTGAATTAATATAACTACCTAATAATTTTTTTCGTTAAAATTGAAATGGTAAAAAACATACTTGTATGCCGTTACTAAAAAAAAAAAAATAATCGCTGAAAAATAAAATTTCAGTCTTGCTAGTTGCAATAGCGGTATAGTATAATATTATAATATAGTTATTGTATGTACCTATTAAACTCTCCAGATCCTTTTTAACAAAACACGTATATTTACGTAGAATTTAACATAACTATTATATAATTAATAGCAACTAAGCGTATTACTTTGTTAATGGTTTAGAAACAATCATCGAACTATCATTGATTTATTTTTAATCCGATGGATTACTGAGCAGCGCGAATCGGGTGGTCTAAGTGCTTAAAAAATGTATGGCTCGCGACGAACTAATTGTCACAAAATGTTTTCCATCGAATGATGATAATCAGTTTTTTTACAAACACTTTTAGTAATTCTGCTCTTTCGTGTAATATAGGTACCATGGAATCAATACTTTTTTTACGTGCGTTGAACTAAATGTCCTACATTATAGGTGAAAACCTACAAAAAATACGATACGTTTAACAGTATTATTATATTAAAATGTAGTCATCGTTATAACTTATATTGGCATAGAGTTTTTCAAGTTTATTGTAATACATAATATTATTATTTATTACTATAATAAGTTGTTGTTAATTTTGTATACCGACAATAACCTAAAAGTTACATTTAAATTATGTGTATTGTGTATTTTACATATTTCAACCAACATTTCATCCTGCATTTGCGATAATAATCGAATGTACATGCGTACTCCATTACCGATTTAGAAACTTAATATAACATTCGCCATCTTAATTACCAATATATTATTATCGGTAGAAGAAAAACATCATTAATGTTTTGGGTGGTGATAAATAATATTAAAACAGGAAACATTCCAAAGCATTAGTGTAGGCGAAGGTTATATTGCTTTACATATATATAGGTACATATACCTACATGTTACTGTATAATTAATAAAGTTAATTAATTAACAATTTCTGTATCATAAGAGCGCATTTAAAACGTATACCTAAATAAAATATAATATTGTAATTAAATAGTAGAATGACTTTTTCGTATTTTTTTTAGTTTCGATCGTGTAAAAACACAATATCTCATAACGTAAATGCATCTACCTCCTAATGTTCTGTACTTACATTTCGTTTTCATTTTAATATCGCATTATTAAACACTCACTAATTTTAATAACATTTATTAAAATTAATATTCCCTGTTTGTCGATACCAGTAAAATAAAATTCTACTCAGCCAGAGTCAACTCAACAAATATTATATAATATACAGTAGGTACCTATACTATTTGTACCACTTTAATTATATATAACAAAGTTTGAGGTAGACAATGGTATTTATTCGATATAATATCATCTAACAACCTTATATGATCACAATATTCAATTACGCGTTCGATCGGTCTATAATAAATTATACAGATAGAAGTCGATAGCCGTGAACTGGTCATTTAATCTAAGTGCTATTAAATAATATAAAACTAAAAAGGGATTAAATCTTAAACTGTTACAGGCAAACTCTTTGTAGGAAACTATAATACATCAAACTTAGTGTTTTTTTTCTCCTGAGAACAAGGTTAAAAATACGTTGATCGTTAAGTGGCTGTCTCTTAGAAGAGCTATTATAGTTGTGACCCTTTGGCCTTTGTACAACTTGGTCAATATTTTTTTTTCCGTTTAATTTTGGAACTTTGACAACATTTCAATCTCCTACCAAATTGTTATGTTTAGGTGACATGTTAAATTGGACTCATTTCAATAACGTTTATGTATTTTATTACACCAACTTTCGTTTTGAATGTATATAGTAGTACATTTTGTGCCAAATAGAATACCCAGCGTAATTTAATAGGCATATTATAATAAATGTATTGATGACTAAAAATCGGTTATTACTTTGATCTTTTTGTTAGTTAGGTAATAAATCAATATTATGACAGATAGCAAATTGGTGTAACACAAAAAAAAATGTATTATACGAATTGTTGGTTTAATTTTTAATCCTTATAACTTTTTGGTGAACATTAATGGGACATATTTATTGACACCCTTTTTCACAGAAATTTTAACGCTATTCGGACACAAATATTTTGTTTTGAAATTTGACAAAGCTAGAATTTTACATTCAAAAACAATTCATTCAAACCCCAATACCCCATATAATTTGATGCATATATTATAATCCTTAACGTTTGCCCATCAATATCTCACTCTTTTCTATGCATTTTTTTTAAAAATATGATTTATGAAGTTATCAATTTATAGGAGATCCACAGTATTATTATAATATATAAGATTTTTAGATTACTTGATCAGGGAATAGAAAAAAATGTAAATTTAATGGTTGTATTCACATTTCGTGATAATTATATAAGTAATTGAAATTAAGTTCAACAATTACATCAGTAATTCTTATACATTTTGTACAAATGTGAAATCCCCCTCCCCCCTAAATAATTCTCGAAAAACCCTAATCACTTAATTGGTGCCAAGATCACGGGACACTGGCACCAGCAAAATGATTTAAAATTTTACGACTGATGGCTGCTGTACACATTTTGAAATTGTAGTTACAAATCTGTACAAATTATACAAGAATATAACTGGTGTGGTTTTTGCGCTAAATTTCGAAAATACGGGTGACGTCACGCAGCTCATTGATGTGGATATTTTAATAATTGAATATTGCTAAATATATTTAATGTGTTTAATACAAATATATTAATATTATTTAATGAATATTCGATTGAGTTTTTTAGTTTTATGCTTACGTTTTTGAGAGTCAAGTTAATTATTTTTCTGTCGTACTAAGACGATGACTGGCTGCAATAACAAATCGACTAGGTTTCCGTATACCTAATGGTTTATAATAGTGTAAGCTCCAAAATAGAATGCTGGCGCGTACTTACGCAACACGTACAGATTCTCGCCGGAAATTCGACCAAAACGCAACGTGTCGCTAAGTCACGTCTGTTATCATTAAATTATCTGGCGATGGGAAGTTTTGGGAATCGGTTCGAGTGAAACGGAGGTGGCCTTTGCGGATTTCCGTCATCATGTTTTAAACGTATACGGTATAGTAGTAGTATTATACATTATATTATACAATTTCCGTGTCAATGCTCCACTAATTTACCGATGTTAACCACCTGGCGTGGATAAAATTACAAAGTGCAAATAAAAAGTGTAGAACTCTTCACTTGCTTCGTTCCTTTGATGTAAATCGTTCAAAGTGTTTTACAAACGAACGAAATTAAATCACGTGGATACATTATAGTTTTCTGAAAGAAATTCGCCAGTAAACAGTTTACTACATATGTATATTATAATGTGTAAAGCGTAAATCGACTCGACATTTAGAAATCTGGCACCATTGGTACCGTTGTAGTATAATACAATATTTTAATGAATTAGAAAACAGTGGTCACTTCGCCAAAACAAACACTTGTGAGGTATTAATTCAAATGTATAAAGTTGTTAAAAATATTAAAAATATATTTAAAATACTTTTTTGATCATTTTGTATTTAAAAACACAAGATTCTAAAATAAATAGGTAAACCTACCAAAAAAAAATTGTTTGATAAATTGTTTGATCAATTTAAAAAGTATTTATATAGAAAAATAAGAATTGAAAAGTAAAAAAGTAAAGTAAAAATATTTTTTAAATTTAATTAATTATTTACACTCGTATATTTTATACCTATAAATTTTAAATACATCTAAAAAATATGTTTAACAAGAATTTATAACACCAGATATGGGATTTTACAATTCTTTAAAACTACTTAAATATGCTCAACGTATTACATTGCAAATACAAGACTCAAATTGTCCTTTAATTATTAAATATGCGATATA